TCCGCCTCCCTACATCCTGCACTACCTCACACAGGGGAGGACAGGGCCCTTACACACACACACACACACACACACACACAGGGCTGCTGTTGACTGGGAGATAAATAAATGAGTTCTGGGTCACATGTTCCACAGCGGTGATCTAAAATGCTGTCTGCTCCGTGTTGTTGTTTTAATCGCTCAGCGCTGATGTTCTCCTCCTACTTCTTGGTTTCTTCAGCTTCAGAGCAGATAGAGCAGATCACCACCACTCCATCATTTTCCTTTTTCACCTCCAAGTGTTGTTATTTCCCAGAAGCCCTGTAAGATGTTCTTGATTCTTCAGTGTTTACAGAAAGCCTTCAAGAGTATCGTACACTTGTTCTGATGTTCGTTTTATTCCTCATTTCTTTGCTTGGGTTCAACAGTCAAACACTGGCTCACAACCGTCTCAGGAAAAAGTCCTGGTTTAGGACCTGATTCCAAAAGTTAGAAACCACCACCAGTTGGCAGTGACTACGCATTTTAATGCTACAACCTCGCACCCACTTTTCATTTCCTTTCTCCCTGCCATATGTCTTGTTCTTCTGACATTGTTGTCAAAGCCCCTCAAAATCTACAAGTGCCCCAGCAGCCAAACATGAGCTCCCTTATCCTCCACGCAGGGAGGAAGTGGTTCACAACAGGCCTGAGGCAGGGCACACACGGGGCTCTTAGAGGCCTGTAGCAGGATGCCTCACAAATCCAATTAGGAAGAGCTGATCCTGGGTTCTGGACTGTCTGCTGGCGCCTGTCAATCAAACCAGGAGAGAGCAGGTGTCCAGTTACCACAGACTCCGGGGCAAACGTGTGTTTTTGTGAGAAGGACAGACCTCTGTGTGAGTGTGACTTGAACCTGCAGTGATTTCATGTCTACAACGGTCCGGTCGCACACATTCAGGTCGAAGGTTTCTGTGTAAAAACTCCAAAGTTGGCTTCCTGGGAGAGAACTTAACCGATGGAAAATCTAACCGTCTATTAGGTCATCGCTGATGTCATGTCCCTGTTCTACATGACATCAGTGCCGCTCCTCAGCAGCCACAGTCTAATGCATCCATAGTATTAGATACTGTGTGTGACAGCAGTTTAGACTGACATCAACATGGATTCAATTCTGATTCTTCTTTCACTTTTTTTACATCTTTCCACAACTGGACTATTAGATTTATTAAACAATTATTACTTTCACATTTTCCATTTGCACAACAAAATATCTGGCAGGAATTCTAGTAGTTGAGAATACAGAATTTTGTCAACTTTGAAAAGTGTAGTACAACAATATGTTACAGAACCAACAATACTTGATACTTTTGTGGACTTTTCTCTATTCTATACATATGTATTCTATACATATCTATATATATGTGTGTTTGTATCGATCTTTTTAATATATGTTTCTGTTGGCCCAAGAGAGGGGATGTAAGAGATGTAAACATAAACTGTAAAATAAGTACAGTATCTGTTTTTATTCTGATTGTGAAATGCAGATGCAGAGCCTTGCCACTAGGGGGAGTTTGTGATCGAGAACCCTCAATGGAGACCGCCGGTTAGTGTAAGGCCCTGCTGTAGAGCGGAAGGAGCGGTACAGTCGAGATCGATATCTCCAAACTCATCATGTACTTCGTACTGTGTGTCTGTAAACAGAGGTAAACAGACAGTGGGTAACAGTGGGTCACTGACGGAGGGTCAGTTAATAAGAAAAGTTGGCCGTTTGATCCTGTTTGTGTGTATGTAAAGTACGGTTGTTAGCCTAGCCCGCTAGCAGCTAAGCTAATACATAGCATGAGGTCCCGCCGTCATGCTGTGACGTGTGCTGTTTGGTTTATTACGGTAGAGATAAACTTTTAAAGTAGGTGACGAATGAACAGAGGCCAACGTATGTTTGTGTTTTATATAGTTTGACAATTTGCTTATTACTGTTTATTATCAAATGCCTATGAGTTCACGGCCGGAGTGGAGAAGTGAGCGGCAGTATGAAGGTCATTACCGGCAAAGTGAACTTGTACTGCGTACTGTATGTCTGTGGTTCTTACCGTAAAACAGTACAAACAAACCCAGCGGACTGTGAATCATCCCGGTCACATTAACCATAAACCAGAACGGTATACTGTACGTCTGGTCAGTCTACGCTGCCCAGTTTTTGAGTCTAAATGTCGGCTACTGGATACCTAATGTGGGCCGCTAAAGGATCTGAATTTTACTTTGTATGTGGGGCAGTGAAAAAAAAAGTGTGGGCCATCACTGGGTGATGTTGGATACTGTTGATGAGTAGAAATTGCATCTTTTTGTTGATAACTCTTCAAATATAAAAGTACAGGCCAGATTTCAGACTGACTTTTGGTCTTTTGTCCCCAGAGACTTGGACGTCTGCTCCTCAGGGATGAAGATGGCTCCTGGTGCGTCTGGTAGCCAAACCAAACTGCAGCCCGGCTCGGCATCAGCCCCGCAGCGACCCATTAATCTGACACCGCTGTGTTTGCTTTACATCATCAGGTAGTTCATAAAGTTCATTTATGCTGTAAATAAACCAGGGGAGTGTGAGCACGAAGACTGAGCCGTGTAGGTCTGGATACTTGGCTTCAACTGTGCTCCTACATCACACACACACACACATTGGTCTTAAATCACATCCAACTGTGAAGTAGTACTCACACGTTGTACATACAGTGTGTACAGTATAGTACTCCTCACCATGGACTGACAAATAAGTCTGGATGTGTCAGAATCCTATGAACCGTCGTTAGAATTGTAGACACCGTTGGCATCAGGTGAACGTGAGGTGATATTTGATGTTTTCTCTCACTTTTGGAGAAGCTTTTCTCTGGAGTTGATTACTTCTGTCTCAGTTATAGGCTTTGTTACTTTGGACTCACTCACTAAGAGTATTCTGCAGTCAGACTAATTTTACAACACTACCCCCTACAGTCCAGAATAGGTACCTACACCAATTTTGATTTCTGAGTTATAAAAAAATATATCGTGGTTTCTTTGAATAAAATTAATTTTTATGTTTATTAATGCTGAATATAAGAATATTTACCTTTGTTGGACAAAGTTCATAGCACCTGGTGTAGGGATTTCTTGTGTTTCCAGTTAAACATTTTTTAATGTATCAACACATAATACTCAGATCTTTATTTTGTCTGTAAAAGATCTCAGTCATTCAAATTAATTTCCATTCTAGTGTAAGTTTAGTTTTAGGCCGATCTTAGATTGAAGCAGAGGAGGAAACAGAGGAAGACTGCATTTTCACAACACCACAAGATGGCGCCACAGGACAGTACGATTACTGTGCTGTTGAAACGAAGATACAGTACGTGTCATAGACTGATATACTGTATCTGCTGTCATAACATTCATATATAATAAATATCTATATACATCTGTCTGTGGTGGAAGTTTTGTATTTACAGTCAGTGTAATTATGTCTGTCGATTAAAATGCATTAAAAAATTAATACGATTTTCAATCTACACAAACTATTCAACACATTAATGTTCATTTTTACACCTGTACACAACAGCAAATGTTGGTCATGTCAAAACAGCAACTTGAATCTATGTCAGTTTTATTACTTCAGTTTTATAACTTCTAGCCAATAACTAGTATCAAACTAAACTCCTGATGAATCTGTTTCACCAGCTCCAACTCCAGCCTTATCCAGGAAGTCTCATTAAGATGAGGAGCTCAGACCAAACGTCAAGACAGTGACAGAAGAGAGAACCGGTTGTTCGTCACACTCACAGACGCAGGTATCATCCTGTTCCCTTGTTAAATGTGTAAGAAATCTCACCTAGCATGAAAAAAAACAGTCACACTTTTTATGACAACGTTGTGTTGCCGTCATAATGCAGTGGTTATAGTTGAACCATCTTTCATCAGGAGACGACTCATCATCACTTAATAAGAAATGTGTCCTACATTGAAGAGCAGGACGTTGTTGTTGTTGAACACAAAGCCAGTGGTTTATAGTTGAAGCGTCTGTTGTCTGTATTTGTGTGTTTTCAAGTGGGTTTCACAGAAACTCCCTCTCTGTTCCTGTGTGTTCCTGTTGGTTTTCAGACGCCTGTAAACCACAGAGGTGTGATGCTCTTTACAACAAACAACTCTGAATCACCCAGAGCTGAGTGCAGGAAGAAGAATGAAAAAAAAACTTTGACATAGTCGTTCATCTTCCCCTGCAGACGAGCCGAGCCGTCAGTTACGGCGCTCACTTTTACTGCCAATAGGTTTTCACGCCGTGCATGATTTAACAGCGAATTAGGGGAAATGGGAGGATTGACAGAAGTACAATTTGAATGAGATTAAAGCCTTGATATAAAACAATCATCAACATTTTAGGAGAATTTGAAGGATTAAAATTTTAAGGTACATTAAAAAACAACATTTTAAGGCTGTGAATTTCAATTAAAGACTACGGCTTTTCAAGAAAAGCAAAATACTGATTTACATCATGCAGTATTCTGTGCCATTTCTTTGGTGTATGTAACTCCACGTTTATATTATATTAAATGTTTGTCTTTCACTTGAATAACTATAGGCCATGCATTTAATAACACATCCCTCTGTTTGTTTGTTTTTTTTTTTACTGCAAATAAATTGTCCTTGTTTGTCAGCCTGACAGTGACAGGCAGGGTAATTAAATATTCTTCCACTAGGTGGCAGCAGATGGCAGTAGAAACTAAAGAAAGAGTTAGATCTGTTGAAGAAAATTTCTGTGTGCATCTTTCTTCAATTCCTGTGATTATATTAGTGTTGTGTTCAACTGAACAGGTTTCTCATGGAGTAGACAGGGATTTATTTAACGTAAAATATATGCCGGTGCTCAAGAGAGTTTGTAAACACAGCTGTCCCAGAGACTGTCCTGAGGTAAAAAGCCCTCGTACTGTTTTAATAAGACAGAGACACTGGTTAGCCGCCACAGGTGTTTGGTTACTACTACTAACTAGTGATTGTGTTCTGTAAGTACAGGTTTTATCCTCATGATGGAGCAATAACACAAATAGCGCTCATCATCCACATATAGTTGGACATGTTCTTGTCTGACCTGTACTTCCTGTGGGCGTGGTCTTCTGACTGAGTGGTTCCACAGGACGATGCTAACGGCTGCACAGCTTCACGACTGTGATGTAGCATCAGGAGTTGATGGATTCCCCCCCGAGGGCTGTATCTAATGTCACACAACAATAGTCCACATTCCTTATTATGACTCTCACCTGGGCCGTGACATGCAGCCCACATCTGCTCCCTGTCCTGTTGCAGAACAGAACGCTCCACTTCACATCGTAGCATCAGGTTCCCTCTGTGGCCGATGGCCATTTCTAGGTATCAGGTTGGCTAACAATCAGTTTGGTTCTTAGAGAAGACACTTTTATTATTAAGTTACTATTAAAGAGGAATAATATATCCCACTGATTCATGCGCACAGATTACATTGAAGAGAATTCAGTGGCCAGAAAGGACATACATTCAATGCTGCATTTTTGTTTATAAATAAATAATCTCTGAATGTTTTTATGTGGCATTCTGTAGAGTAATATAATTAAATCTTCAGTTATAAATTAGCCCGAGTGTCATGGCGGTGTTTTTTGGTTGCTACAGTACCATTAGTGGCCACTGGGAGACTCAATGCCGTATTCAGCTCGTACTGGTGATATAAATTAAAAGGAGACAGTGACTCTTTTACTTGTCAAGTCAGTAATAATACGAATGTAAATGTCCACATGTTTGAATTGATAGAGTTTTTGTTGGGTGTTTGTTTTTTCAGTGGCTGTGGGAACAGGTTGATACCAGTTCACCAGGGTCCGTGCCAGACCTGCCGGGCCTCAGCTGGAGAGCCGGTCTCCAGAGGACCGTCCTCTGAATGGACCTGCAACAGGAGAAAGCAGCCCATTAAGATTCTACAGGAGCCTCACGGACCACCGGTCAGTCCTTTAATGATGTCAACACATTACTGATCATTTGCCATGAAGTCGTAGAAGAAAAGAAAGTCCTCTTTGCTTTCACTGAATCGTTCACACAAAAATGTTATTTCTCTTTATGTCAAGAACGTAAAAAGTTAAAAGAATCCAAAAGTTCCAGAAAAGTTAGACAGACGTCAGAAAAATCTGGTGCTTTTACATTTGTTTTATGTTATTGATATAAAAGTTAGACAGACGTCAGAAAAATCTGCTGCTTTTACATTTGTTTTATGTTATTGTTAATTTAAAAACATTTAAATAACATTTAATCTTTCATAAGAATATTTAAACTCACTAAGCCCTTACACTTGTTGACAATATAATAATATTAACTTCAATAAAACATTAGAAAATAATTTAGAAAAAACAAAACATAAAACATAAAAACCCCAAAATGCCAAAAAATAGCATATTCTTGGCCCAAACCTAAATGTTTGTCAGCTTAACAATTCTTGGCCCAAACCTAAATGTTTGTCCTCCGTCAGCTTAACGTTAGTCAAACATCAACACAGGCAGCTCAGTTCAGTAATATTTCCGACTTGTGGACCATAAAAACAGAACTGTTTTTTCTCTGTTCTTTTCTGCTTCAGTTCAAACGTCTTATTCTTTAAACACAGAGTGTTTTTGAAGACAATCCACACGTGGGTCACTGCAGTTCTTCTTGATTTTATTTAAAAGTCCATACTGTGATCGCTCTCATGAAATGTAGCTGTGGTCGTGGCCGCTGACGGAGCCGTATGAATCAAAAAGTCCTTTCAGAGAGAAATAAAACATCAGCTCTCACTGGGTAGATACGGCGGCGGTGGATGGGCTATTATGTGACTGTGAGATAAGGTTAATGCCCCATAGAGCCCAGGAGGCAGTCACTGCAACTGGTGCCTCACAAAATGTCAAACGTATTTGCCCTCTCCCGGCTGAACTGGTATTCACTCTCCCACAGATTTGATTGGAGTTGGCACCGTGGCCTGACTTATGAGACGCTTCAAAAAAAAAAAAAAAAATAGAAAAGATTTGGCTGTAAGAAGAGAGGATTTATGGGTGTGAACACTTGAACGGTGCTGCCTCTCAGCCGGTCAGGGATGAGCTCAAGACTAGGAGTGAATGGAGAACAGTCAGTGCTGTCACAGAGCAGAGCAGAGAACAGCGTCACTGGGACGGACAGTGAGGACCTGTCCGGGGGGGGGGGGGGGAGGGGGGTTCTGTACAATCTCTGGAGCAGGGACTGAATGTGTCACTAGAAACCTGAGGTGAGGGACAGAGTACATGTCCTTGTTTGGAGGTCTTTGTCATGCTGGAGAGGTCAAAGGTCATGAGTTTTAAATGGAGTTTATCATAGTGTTGTATGTCCACTCACTCTTTTGTCCCCCCAGTTCTACCCTCTCTATCATGGAGGGGAGTGTTTTCTCCTCACCCTCACTTCTTGGCCGTCTGCCTCAGTTTAAAAATAAAAAATCATTTTATTCCTT